ATATTTATAATTTATTCAATCTAATTATTATTTTTAAATAATCAAAATAACATAATTCGATTAATTCATTCATTATGATAGAAGATTGAATAAATATGAACACGAAAATAAGCAATGAAATAATGCATCTAAATAATTTACAAAAATGAGAAAAAGATGCAAAAAAATTTGCATCCATAGAATTTTCCATTTATTATATTTTGCTCCTAAAGAAAAATAAAAAAAATAAAAAGTATGATAAATATACAATCTGTAAATATTTATGTTTATATTTTATAACAACATGTACTTAATTTGTATAAAATATTAATGAAGTAGATGATTTGATTATTTTTATTTAATTATTTTTATTATTTTATTATTATGTTATTTATTTTTATATTTTTATATTTATTTCTCTGTTTATATTATTTATATCATTGTATTCTTCTTATTATCTATATATTATTATATTCTTTTTATTTTATTATTTTTATGTTTATATTATTTAGATTTTCTTATTGTTATTCTTTTATATTTAGTTGTATTAGATTATTTGAATATTCATATTTATTCATCTTTTATATTATTATCTTTTATATCTATTTTCATTTTATATTTATTCTCTTTTGATTTATATTAATATTAAGTTTATCTTTTATACTTTGATTTTATTATTATATCATTGATTATCATTTCTCGTTTTATTTATCATTTATTCTTATTATTCTTTTGTTTTTATATTCTATATCATATATTCATATCATTTTCATTTATATTTTATCATTTATTATATGTTATAATAACATAACACATATGATTGATTATATAATAAATATCATAATGAAGTTATACATATAAATAATAAACATAAAAAAGAGTAAAATATTTTTTTTTCAATAAAACAATATTAATTATTTTGAATCATTAAATTAGACACTTGTTATTGAATATTTCTAATTTTTACATTAAAAATACACTTTTTATTTCTTCTTTATTTTCTTCTTTTATTACATCTTTGTGATTTATTATTTTTATATTCTTCTTATACTTTCTTTTTATTCTTTTTATATTATTTGTTTTTCTTTTTTGTTTCTATTTCTTTCTTCTATTATTTATCAATTTTATATTCATTTATTCATTCTTTTTATTTCATTTTTATTAATTCTTGAGTATTGTATATTTCTTTAATATTTCATTTGTGTATTATCAAAATATATGTTTTATTGATTTTATGTTGAATAAAATATTGAATAATTCAATATTTCCAATGTTAAATATTCATTCTTTATTCTGAAATGTTGTGTATATTTATTATATTAAATGAATATGATGAATGAATATCAATATTATTGTTTATTTGATTTTAAAAATAATAAATGAATATGAAATAATGAAATAAAATAATGAAGACAATGAAATGATAATGAAATAAAATAATCTAATATTGAACAAATCAAATAAAGAATAAAATGAATATATCATTATTGTTACTTTATTATTTATTATTTCAATTATTAAATATTAATAAGTTATTATTCATGAATATTTAATTGATTGATATTTTACAATTTCATTTTCATTTTATTTAATAAATGAAATATAAATAATAAATGAATGAATAATAATTAATATATGAAATAATAAAAAGAAAGATAAATAATAAAGAAATATGATGTATTTAATATATAATATAATTTATTATCAAATATAATAATAATATCAAATGATGAATTATTTTTATTTCAAAATATTTTGCATCAATAAAATATGTTGCTAAATATTTTGCATCATTAAATTTTGCGCTTTTTTTATTGAACTTTTTTATTTGTTGAAATAAAATTTGCATCCTTTATTTTTTATTCTATTCTTCTTTTATCATCTCTTTTGTTTTATTACACTTTATCTTCTTTCTTTTTATATTCTCTCCTTTCTACTTTTATTCTTTCTTCATCTTCATCTACTTTTTTTTTATTCTTTTATATCTTTCTTTATCTTCTTTTTCAATTATTTGCTTTTTTGTTGCCCAATTTTTAATAACAGATTCAGCATTGTTGGTGATATTCATAACATATTTAATGAAGTAGAATGTAATGATATGTTATTAAGTAGAAATAGCAACAATGAATATCAAGAAGAAATAACTGAATTAAAAGTTATGAAAATTAAATAAGATAATAATTGAAATAAAATAACTAATGGTTATTATTTTTAATTTAATAACAATAAATAAAATGATTAAAATAATAATATTTTCATAAAACATCTTTGTTATATCATTTTAATTGTATAATATTTCAATGATTTTTTTATTGTTTTTTACAAATAAACACCATATCATTATAATGATATTATATGAATGTGATATAATGTCTAATATCAATGAATAATAATTATGTTGTCAATTCAATAGAATATGTAAATAACCAATAAGGAATATTGTTTGTTCATTTAATAGACTCTCAGAACTATTATTTGTTATTACAATAGAATTTAAATGAAAATATGTGATAAACAAAATATACTATTGTTCAATAATTCATAAGAATTAATTTATTTTTTCTATTTTTCTGTTATTTTTAACATTGATGTGATAAATACAATGAAATACAAAACAACTACCAATATGAAATAAATGACATTTAAATGATAGAATAGAAAGATAAATAGAAATGAATAAATTGATAGAAAGTCTGTATAATTTGAAATATCAAATAGAATTAAAACATAGAATAATTAAAATGAAAAGAATAAAAGAATGGATTATATAATTTCTGAATATCTACAAATAACTTATTAATTCTTATTTGATTAAAGTGTTGTTAAAATATGAAAATAAAAATGATGTTCACTTTATTCTTGTTTATTTTTATTTATTTTATTCATTGTTTATCACTCAATTTATTCTTCTTTTTATTTTTAATCTAAAAACATAAAATGTTATTCAATTCTCTTAATTATTGTTCTTATCCATTGAATGTTGCTGCATTAGTTGCTTCATTATCTGCTCCAACATATTCTGCATTTTCATTAATTATTGTAATGGCATTCTTCATAGCTGATGAAACAAGTTGATAAGTCTTAAATAATCCAATAGAAACAACAATTAATGCAACTACAACTGCAACTATAACAGCAGCCACAGTAGTTGCCGCTGCAATAGCTCCAACATTATTAATTTCTCCTGCGAGAATACACTCGGTGTGATTATTAAGTTGTTGTGTTCTATCTGTCTGATTCCAAACACGACAATTACCACATGCATCAAGATCATAATATTCTTTATCTGTTTCTCCATACATAGTAAGAACTGATGAACCGTCAAGATATGAACATTGACAATAGAAACATCTTCCTTGATTTGGTGTGATTGTTGGGAATTCTTCTGAAACAGTACATGTTTTCTTTGTGTAAATAGTTTCTCCAGTTGTTTGATTACATGTTGCGGTTTCGCATGGATTTCTTGGTTTTGGATTAGCATTTGATCGTTCTGTATCAATTTCCCATTTATGTGTGATTTTTCCATCACTTCCTTTACTCTCAACACATTTATATTTCAAACATGCATTGTTAAGTTCAACTCCTGATTTAGTTCTAAAATGTTCACTATCTAATGATGGATCATCGGTAAGTTGTACAAATTTACAAAGATATGTAGTACCATCACATTCTCCTGTCATTGCTTTACATCCATAATCTACTTCTGTGTTTTGATTACATTTTTCTACATCAGTAATAATTGGACAACTATTATCATTTTGACAAACAGTACTTGCACATTCTACTTGCTCAATTCCTTCTTTTCCTTCAATGAATGCTTTACGTGCATCTTCTATTCTCTTATTGTTAGTGTCACATGTTGTTTTTGTAGTATTTTTACATGTTGTTGTTTTTATTCCATCTTTTTCTGTAATAACAATCTCTTGAATCTTACATTCAATAGGTTGACAATCAAAGTTAGGATCAATAATGCAATTGTTATTCTTACATTTGAATGGAACTCCTCCATTCTTAGTCTCTTCTGCACACAAATCAACTTCTTGGACTTTTTCTCTAGTTTCAATTAATGAACATGTTTTACATTCTCTTGTTGTTATTTCGTATGTAAATATGCTTCTTTGTCTGCCTCTTTCATAAATTCTTCACTTTGTGGTAAATGAAGTTTATAACTAGTTAAATTGAATAATGAACTGGAAATGATAGGTAGCTGTAACATATGCTTGACATGGTAAATAGAAGTTATAAATAGATTTAAAGTTATCATCATTACCTAAACAATCAACATAGGTTCTTGGAATGCATTGTTCATTGACACAATCTTTTGGAATGGTGTATTTATATTCTTTTCCATTTTCTAAAGTGACTTTACGTTCTAATTTTTGATCTTTGCATTTTTCTACAAATTTACCACTTTCACATACTGAACATGCTGGTGTTGGTTGAACAGTTGCTTTACATGTTCCTGTTTTTGAGTCATATGTATATGTTCTGTATGTAGTATCAGCTGGACATGTTAAACTAGAACATTTTGCACAAATATCATTATCTGATGTAGAAGAAACATCTTTTTCAAATACACAAGAATAAGAATTGTCATTGCCTTTAATACATTTACCATTAAAGTTTCCACATTGTGATTTACGTGAATTACAATCATCATGATATGTAATAACATTATCTGTTCCCATTGAGCAATATCCACATCCTACATTAGAAACATCACCAACTGCTTGAACAACACATTGTCCATTCAAACATGTAGTTGAATAATATTGTTTACACATATTTTCAGATTTACCATCTTGAGCGAATTTAACTTCAGTTTTAGAACAATCAACATTCTCCCAATATGTTGTTTTACTTGTTTCATTACATCTCTTAATAAGACATCCATCTCTAACAAGATCTTCTGTACAATTAGACACTTTACACTTTGGTGTTGTTCCTGTATAATCACAAATTTGATGTTTATTAGAGTCACAATAATTACCGTTTTGTACTTGAGTACATTGACATTGGTTATTAGTTGTAGAATCACATTTACATACTGATCCTGTAGAATCTCCACCACATGATGAGTATGTATCACATGATAATCTGTTCTCACACATACCTGTATTGAGATTACACTTAGCTACATAACATGACATTTCAATATATGGTGATGTTTTTACACATACTTTATCTCTAACACTACATCTTTGTTCTGCATCACAAACATATTCTTGACAGTTATTTGTCTTTCCTGTACACATATTTTCACCACGTTTATCTTTCTTACAAAAACCAGTAGTCTGGTCACATGTATAACTCCAACAATATCCATCAGAACTTGGTTTTTGATCTGCTTCACAATTAGCTTTTTGTTTACATACTTCAGTTAGATTCTTATCATTATCACAATATGGTACCATGCATTTCACTTTTGGTTCACAAGATGTATTATATTGTTTAACAACACAACCTTCAAGATCTCTACATTCATATGAGCCTACACATGTTGCTGGACATTCCTTCTTTGCTTTTGGTTTAGCTTTAGGCCATGGAATACATGATCCTGTTTCTACATCACAGGATGTATAGAAACAATCATTCTCACAACACATTGGACATGTGCATCTATTCATTGCATCACAAAATCCTGAACATTTATCTCTATCACATCTTTCTGTTAAATTGGCTCTAATTCCTTTGAAAAGTGCAGTGATTGTTGCATTAACTTCATCATTACCTGTAAATTCATGATAATGTGGTCCAAGTGAAACAAGTCTCAATGCACTACGTGTAATCTTTGGGTCTTTATTTCTATTAAGAACAACAGTATGAACTGAAATATTCTTTCTATCAAATTCTGTTTCTGCATTAAATTCTGATCCAAGTGCAGTATCCATTAACACAATCATAGTTCCTCTTTTGATTTTATCATTTGCATTTTTATCTTTACTTTTATCTGCAACTTTAGCAGTTAAGTCATTCTTAGCAATATTAATAAGTGGATCAACTTGTCCTGTTCCTGCTGTGTATTGGACAAGTGTTTCATATTTTAATTGATCTAAAGTAATATTAACTGTAAAATAAGTATCATCTTTAAGATAGTAGAGTGTTACTCCTTTGACTGTTGTTAATTTATTTAAAAGAGATAAATTCTCTTGAAGTGATTTAATGACTGTAGAATCAGTAATACCAAAGATAATTGCAAGATGTGTATTAACATTATTATCATATACTTTAAGAAGACATTTTGATGTAGTGTTTGTATTATATTGATCAATAAATGCTTTATTCTCGTTGTTAAATGATCTGAATGTAATTGATCTTCCTCCAATGAAATCCATTCTACAAACATCATATGCTTCAGTTTTTGTTGCATATGTCATTTTTGTATTTAAATAAACATAAGCCAATGGTCTTTTAGCTGCATATTTAAAACAAGTTTTTCCATTAATATCTACACTTTCAATTCGTTGTTCATCAACTGGAACATTGTCCCAATCAACTTCATATTTTTCAATTGGATATGCATATTCTTTTTGACAAAAATCTTGTTTAATATTTGTTTTATTAATATCTTCAACCTTTACATTATGATCTTCATTGATAGTATATTTATAACATTCTGTATTATCATTTTTATCGCATGTAGTCCATACAAAATGTCTCCATGGTTGCATAGCTAAATAATAGAAAACATCATATTGGTGAGTGTAAGAATGATACCATGAACCTGCATTCTTTCCACGAGACATAATACCAAGGTCATAATAGTCAATATCTGCTGAAAATTCATTAAGTTTATCTGCAAGACAACATAATAATAAGATATTTAATAATAATAATTTCATATCTTTGTCTTTCTAGTTCATTGTCTTGTTTAAATTCAATTGCCTTTCCTATTATTCAGAATTTGTCCTTTCCTTCTTTTATTTTCAATAGAATATATCTTTTTGGAACAGAAATTTATCAAGTAAAACAATAAGAGGAGAGTATAAAAATAGAACCAAGAATAAATTCATTTCATTTTTCCATTCATTTTTATAACAATTCACTTTTCTAGTTTTTTGTTTATTCTTTCTTTCATTATTTATTTATTCTTGTTTTCATCAATACTATTCTTTACTTTGAATTATTTCTTGTCATTAATCATTTTCAGATACAATCTCATCATTATTTCCTTCATTTCCTTTTAGTTTCTTTTCATCAATCTTTTCATGTTATTTCTTTGTTTGTATCTCATCTATTTTTAATATCTTTGAGTCATTTCTCATAACAATAATTCATACACTATTATTTATTAAATTTCATTAACAATATTATATTCATTTAAACAAGTTATTATTTGAATTTTATAATATCAAAATATTTCAATCACGAGCTACCAAAACCATTTAAATGAATGTTTATATAAATAATTTAGTTATAATTCTTTTTTTAACATATTCATTTATGTTTTATGAATATTATAAAATGGTTATAATAATGGATATTAACCATTGTATATTTTGTATATTTTATCAAATATTAGAATAATACAACGAGTTATATTATTTTATTTTACATTAATTCGTTTACTAATTATTAGAATCATGTTTATTAACTGATAATTATAACCAACTTCTTATTGACTTGATAATATTACTTTCTATCAATTAATAACAACTCATGACTTATCAAAAATCTATGTATCCAATAACGTTGCAACAAAAAATGAACAGTCATTAATTAAATAATTTTAAATATTAATCAACTAAAACCGACAATTGTATTAAAGAAACTTGAGTTTGGACGAAAAGAATAAAATCTACTTTAAATAAAATAAAAATAAATAGAAACAATGTATAATATAAGAGTGTTGTTAAAAATAATAGAGGAATGAATTATTTTTATTGGTTTATTATCTCATCTTATTTTTTAATAAATTCATTAACACTCTGTAAATAATTCATAGTCATTATATTAAATTAATATAATTATCAAATTATTTATTCATTTTATGTTGAATTTATATTTATTGTTTTTGAAATGGAAAATTTAATAACAAATTAATTATTGAAGTGGTAGAAACAATTCAAATATTTCATCATTCATTTGTTCATATTATTATGTTTTATAGGTATGTTTTATGTATATTAATTTGAAGTATTTGAAATAAAACAGAATGAATTAATTAAACAAAATATTAAAAGAGGAGATGGAATATTTGATAGAATGAATCAGAAAGAAGAATGTTGGTGTTGGAGAAAGTCATAAACTCTTTGATAAAAGATAAAGTACGATGAAGAATCAATTAATAAAGTAAAAGATGAATTAATCAATGATTCATTTAATTAAATAAATTGTGGTGAATGGTAAAATGAGAAATAAGAAGAGAAAATGACAATCAAAAATAATCAATTGAAAGAAGAATAGAAAATAGAATGATTATTTTGCGATGAAGAAGAGAGAAAGTATTGAAAGAAGAGAAATGAAGAAGTAAAATAAATAGAAGAATATCTGATATATTATTTGATTCAGATAATGATAAAATGAAATGTAATACATCAATAATTAGAGAATAAAAATGAATAATTAAAGAATACAAATGAATAAGAAGAAATAGAAATGAAAATATGATAAAAAGAAAATGAATAAGTTAAAGAAAATGAATAAAATTATAAGAAATAAAGACATTTATAAATAAAAATATATTCAACACCAATATTGAAATGAAATAATGAATAAAACAAATAATAAATTAAAAAGAAGTGAGAAATATTTATAAAATGATGAAACATATTCATATTATGAACAAAAACAATATTCATTTGATTATGAAGGAATAAGAAAGTTGTCATGAATAAAAGAAAGATAAAAATAATGAATAA